GGGCCGGCTGGAACCGGTCCGGGCCTGGGGAAGCCACTGCGGAGACCCCTTATCCCTTATCCAGTCCGCTGGGAGCTCAGGGACCCCCCTCGGACACTGTTCCGGATTCCTCCTGGCTGGAGAACCAGGGGGACTCCCCAAACTCCCCACGGACCGTGCTCCACTCTGCTGAAGGCAGGAGCGCCCCAGTTTCCCCATGCACTAGATTAAGCTCCAGGAAGGAGGGCCAGACCCACAAGTGTCTACTGTGCGGTTCCATTCGAGTGAGGTTGAAGAACAGATTGTGTCTATGATGCTGGAGGTCAGAGGAGTGGTTACCCCTGGGGGCCCTGAACTGGGAAGCTCACCAGAGGGCTTCTGGGTCGCGGAAAGCTTTGCCTGGGGAGTGGGTACACAAGTATCCGTCCATCCATAAGAAGCCTTTGAACTGTGCGGGTAAACCTTTGTGTGTTGGGTGCATGTTTGTGTCAGTCAGCTTCACATCACTATAACAAATACCTGAGAAAATCAACTTATGATGAAAAAAACAGTTTTATTTTGGCTCACAGTTTTAGAGGATCCAGTCCATGATTGGGCCGGCCGGTTACTTTGAGGCCCTTGGTGGGGCAGCAGCACGTCATGGCAAAAGCATGTGGTAAAGCCAAGCTGCTCACTTCCCGGCCAGTATGCAAAATGGAAAAAAAAAAAAAAAAGAGGAGACTGGGGTCCAACAATCCTCTTTGAAGGCACACCCCAGTGATTCAAAGACCTCCCACTAGACCCCATCTCTCCAAGGTCCCACCACACCCCCAAGTATGCCAAAGCTGGGGACCGACCCTTTAATGGATGGCCCCCTTGGGGTACATTCCAGATCCAAGCGATAGCAACTGTTATCCCTCAATAAACAATTTCAAATAGAAAAATAATACATATTCCTATCTCTGGGTGCCTTCTAGTTCAGTGAGCCTCCTTGCCCAGGCCACTGTCCCACTCAAAATTTTATATGAAGGATAATCTTTCCATTGAAATTCTGTAATACAGTGATTTAAGAAAACAATTTCTGTTAAATATTAAAATATAAAGATGAATTCATGGGGGCCCGACCTTCGTCACCACCTTTGCTAAGCCTCCTCCTGTCCCCAGGAGCCCTCTAGGTACACGCGCCATCCCCATGGTAGTGTCTCAGAGAAGGCACAGATCAGTCTGGGAAATCCGACAGAGCTGCTCGGAACAAAGAAGAGTTTGGCGATTGGAAGAGAAAAGTCTTTCTTTCCCAGCCACAAAAAAAAAAAAAAAAAAGAAGAAGAAGAAGAAGAAGTGGTTTCTAGTATTAATGGGCGGAACCTGCTCCAGGATTGATCCCCTTTTCACAGGACTAATTATAGATTTATTAATATTTATGGGCCTCTCGTCACAGCCGATAGCTCTTGTTGGAGGACATTAAGCCTTATCTCCCTACCTCCAGGAAGGGGCATTGGAAGCCAGCTCTAATTGGGTGACCCGCAATCAAGATAGAAAGGGAAAAATGACAATAGCGTGCCTGTTGCCATATATTAAAATACGGTCCGCCCAGCTTAATGATTATCTTTAGAATTAATAATCTTGCTGGTCCAGGTTTGGGCCCTAATAGCAGGAAATCGTATTAAATACTTTGCTAAGAGCAATCAGCTTTTTGATAAGGCTAATGGCCCTGGCCCCGGCTATTTCTCAGGGCTGAGCTCTCTGTTTTCCTACCCCAGCAGAAGGCCACTTTGTCTTTATCACTTGTCATCTGAAGTCAGCATCACCTGGTGCTGGGTCTTGGTGGGGCTCCCACTGCCTCTCCCACCGCCCCCCCAATTCATCCTAAGGGCTGCAACAAGATCAATCTTGGAAAGATGCAGTTAGGGCCCTGCCATGCCCCTACGCTACAACCTTCAGTGGCTCCCCATTGTCTGTCGGGTGAATGGGCATCTAGCTCCCCCCCAATCCAGTCCCAGCGGCTGCATCCTCTGGTTCCCTTTTAGGACTCAGACATTTAGCCACACCAGACAATCCCTGCCTGTTTCCAGGACATGCCCACAGCATCAGAACATTAGACCACTCTTGGGGAAATTAGTTTACCCATGGTCAGATCCCGGTAGGACTTTCTAGTTGCTGCTTGAGCCAAGTGTGGAGCACTTGGAGCCGGTTTCCACCTGCAAGATGGAGGTGATAATACTGTCTACCTCCTAGGGCTTCTTGTAAGGATTGCATGTGATCTGGTAGGCAAAGGGCCCCACCCAGGGCCTGGCATGCTTCCAGAACGGTCCATGCCTGCACCTGCCCTCCCCACAACTCCACAGCGTGACACCCTCAAGCTGAGTGCAGAAGCGCAAGTGGCTTCAGAGCTCAGGTAACAGAATTCAGACGCAGCCTTGGGTGACCCTGGGCAGGTGTCTTCACCTCTCTAAGGCTCCTTTTCTTCGTTTATAAAACGGGCATAACAGCCTTCATCGCCTAGAGCTATTAGGGGCTTCAAATGAGACAACACAGGCCCGTCACAGTCCCTGGCGCCCAGGGGATGACAATAGGCTTAGCTTAACTTGCTGCGCTCCCAGGCATCCAAGTCCCCGGAAGCCTTCTCTTCAGAACTGCTCCGGTACCCGCCTTGGTCTGGCTCCGTCTTTGTACTTTGGGGTGCTTCTGTCCCCCCCCACCTCTGCCACCCTGGACTGGGTGCTCTGGGTTGGAGTTGCGCCCAGCTCCTATTCTCTCCCAAGGCCTGGTGTGAAGTCGGCACAGAGCAGGCACCGTCATCCCGCCGTGGCAGTCATTGATCACAGGCTGGGAGTACTGGGTGCTCACTAAGCACCAGGCACTAGGCTGGGTGCTTCCCAGCAAGGACTCCGCAGCATTAGCTTTAGTATCCGTAGCCATTAACAAGGGCCTTGCTCCCTGCCGCAGTTCACCGCACCTCATTCTCACCAACGACCCGTGACAGGGGCTCCCTTAACATCTCCAGTTTAGGGGACCCAAGCTGGGATGGGAGGGGTGAAATGACCTGCTCAGGGTCACACCAGGAGGAGGGAAAGTGATGCCAAGAGCCCTTGGCTACCAGCAGCAGGGAGCTGGCCCTGGCAGAGTTCCCTGAGCTGGCCTCTGGCAGCCCCAGCAGAGAGAGCTGTGACTTTCTTTCCCCAAGGTGGGAACCAGTGCTTGCCATCTCCCTCTCGTGCTAGGCCCTCCCCAACATCATCTGCTTAGGTTGACCTCATGTTATAAGTATGGCAACTGAGACTCAGAGAGGTAAAGTGACTTGCCTTCGGTCACACAGCAGATAAATGGAGGAGCTAGGATTTGAACCTTGGTCCAGGGAGCTCCCATCTCTTCAGGACTCGGGGGATCAATCAGGATGAGGTTTGATCTCCAGTTCTTGCTGGACTGCAACCCTTTCCTGACCCCTGTGCCCCTTTCTGGGACCTCATCATTCTACCCCAGGGTCAGATGTCCCTACTCTTGGGAGACCAGGTGGCCCTTCCCTGCATCCTCCAGGCCCCCGTCCCCATCGGTCACCAGCCAGGGTCCTATGTTAACACCCACAGAGTGGCCTTCCTACGATCCAGACCCAGGGTACCGGAGCCCGCCTGGTCTCCCTCCTTGAACCTCTAACGTTGTGGTCAGAGGCAGGGGCAGCGTCCCCCAGAATCCTCCCTTCCTGGCCACCTGCAGTGCAGAAGAGCTGAGAGGACAGAGAGGAAGGAGGACAGGCCATCTGAGAGAGGAGATTGCCAGCAGGCCCCGGGGAGGGAGAGGTCCCTGCATGGAAGAGGGTCAGGAGGGCTGAGTGGAGATGTGGGGGGCAGCTGCCAGAGTGACCTGATGGAGACAATCCCCAGGCCGGGTGTGCAGGGGCGGGGTGTGTGAGGTCAGCAGACCTCCAGGAGCTAGGGGGGAGGTCAGGGAGCAGTGGAGCAAAGAGCACCCGGACCCCCCTCCCGGCTGCTGGCGTCTCCTCCCGGCTCCCAGCAGCCGTTGCCAGGACAGCTACAGGGTGCTGCCGACAGGTGCCACCGCAGGCTCCCGCTCTTGCCAGCCAGCCCCTGTGACAGCCGCTCCAGCTGCCTCCCATCAGAGAGAACACACATCTGAGGCCAGACTGATGAGATTGTCTCCAGACCGGCGTCAGCCGAGGGAGAGGGGCAGGCGGCAGGCTGTTATTAGGACGCACATCCCGCCCACCTCCCCGGTGCCACCAGCAAAAGGCTCCTAATCATCAGAGAGCAGCGGAGGGCTTTCCTTGGGTTCCCTTGACCTTGCTGGCAAGGGCCTGTGCACAAACACGCCTTAAACAGACCGGAGAGCGCCCCGTGCCTCCTGCGAGTAGCTCCACTTGCCTGGACCCTTTGCCACTCACCAGCTAGTGATGGGCACATTGCACTGGAAGGTAGGCGTGCACAAGCAATGGCAGGTGTG